GCAGAAAAAAACTGTTTATATACAAGTTTAAAAGCAGTGCATCATTTGCGTCAGGTAAAAACATTTAGGATGGCGTGAAACAGTGTGTTCAGTGTGTTCAACTGACTTTACAGGAAATTGTGAGTTGGTGCTGAATGTAGGAAAAACCCTGGGTGGGTTTGTTTAAAAAGGCTGGAAATACTTTCTTTTTTACTCAGACCCATTAAAATCCACCTCTGTCTTCACATTTTCATTCAGTTTGAATTCCAGCATGTCACACAAACATTCCACAAGGGAATATCTATTTTCCAGATTTCTCCTCATCCTGATGATTTTAATGTGCTCCTAAAGTTTCCTACCTTTTATTTGTGCCTTTGTCTTATTCAAAGCATGTAACATCAATGACACACACACACACACACACACACACACACACACACACACACACACACACACACACACACACACACACACACACACACACACACACAGGGTGGAACTGACTTTTTGCATAAACATTTCCACAGTGAACAGAACAGCTCAGATATTTGTCCGAGAGGGCCAAGGCAGTGTTGTTATGGAAACAAGGATTTGTTTGGATGGAAGAAGGTTTTCCCTAAGAGGACCCCAGAGGTGCCCAAGGATATGCCGCACCCTCAGAACACAACTCAGCGCTAATCATTCACACATGTTCTGTTGCAAAACAAATGTCTCACATGGGATCACATCATGACTGTAGAAACCTCATCAGCTCTTCCACAGTGAAATGTGCGTTCGCTCTGATGAAACCCACCTTAGAACAGAGCTTTTTGGGCCGAGAACATCAGTGAGAGATTGCCAAGTCAATAAGCTAGCATGCTAGTTTTTAAGATCTGTTCAGAAATTCAACAAAGTTCTTCTAAAATGTTACTGTTCCAGTCCTTAAAGAATTCAAATCCAAGCCAGCACCAATGTGGGAAGGCTTAAGGTTCAGCTAAACAAAGATAGATGTGGATGAGCAAACATATTTCTCATCATTGAGCTGAAAAACTTGAACAACCTTGAGCTTTGTTGGTGAGAAATATATTTATGATTAAGATCAATTTAAACTGAATCAGAAAATAAGTTGCAGGTGTCAACATTTATAGCTTTATATATTTAAATAAAGATCTGCTGGATTCCTCTGAAATGGATCGTCAGAAGCTAACTCTCAATGCCACCTTTCAATTTGCTATTAAACTTAAAAATAATCCCCTTAGGGGCCAAAAAATGTCTGTGTCACTGTAACAAGTCCGCATTATTTCAAACAGTTCTCCAAATCTAAAATAAATTATCTCTGTGTGTTATGTTTGTTTGTGTGTGTGTGTGTGTGTGTGTGTGTGTGTGTGTGTGTGTGTGTGTGTGTGTGTGTGTGTGTGTGTGTGTGTGTGTGTGTGTGTGTGTGTGTGTGTGTGTGTGTGTGTGGATGCTTCACTTCATGTTTTTGCATCACTTAAGCAGAGAATTGTGCAATATTTAACTCACAGATAATTTTTCTGCCATATCCCGCCTGCTGTGCCAAGCTGACTAATGCTTTTAAGGACTGCTGCTGTCATTTTGGGAAAATATCTCCTCTTTTAGGTGAAAACAGATTACATAACACGGTTTAAAAGCCATTAGATTAATTTTTTCGAAGCATCATTTGATGCAGAGCTATGGTAGTTTTAAACACTACAGCAGAGTAATAATCGGCTATATGTTGAACTCTCGCATGTTACGTCTCAAATTACTTTGTTACCATGTGTTAAAAGATATACAACCCTGCTGCTGGTGTTTAATAATTCAGTGTAAAGAATGCTTGTTCATTCAAAATGTTACTTTTCATACACTAGATGAGGGCAACAGGAGAAAAAGATGCTTAGAACAGAAATGGCTGCCTCCAAGTGAGACTCAGATGAAAAATATGTGTGTTTGCATGCAAAAAAAAGAACTTAATTGATTTGAGATATAGATTGCTGGTTGCAATAAAAAGAAAAACAGCTAAGCTTGCATCAGTCATCAGTGTTGTGTAACACAGATGCTGCTGCAGAGGGAAGCTGGAGGCTTCCCTGCAGACTGCAGAATGAACTATTCGAAATCATCCACTCGAAACGCAGCATTGGTTTGATACTAACAGGTGTTTCTGTTCTGCAGAGCCAGTCATATAGGTAAGAAGTACATGCATGATATAAAACATGTCCCAAAATACACACTATTTATACAAAATGTGATGACATTAAATCAAATTTTGTAGGATTTAACTTTTTCAAAACAGAATTCACTGCACACAAATGACCTTTGTTGTTTAAACTATTTATGGAATACCATGTAAGCTTGATCAACAACTAAACCTCAGCTGTTTAACGAAATATGTTATAAGCACTAAAATTACAAAGTAATTTTTTTTCTTTGCTAAATTAAAATAAAATGCATTGAACTGCATCACTACTGGACTAAACAGTTGTTTCCCTTGACCCTACCACTGTCCTAATAGGTGTGACCCCGCAAGGAAAGTTGACCATTGAGCAGGGTTGATGGTTTATCCCTTGGGTCCATGTGGTAGGGGTGAGGAGTGAGCACCACCTCACCCCTGCCATGTGGACCTCAAGGGATAAACCATCAACCCTGCTCAATGGTCAACTTTCCTCACGGGATCACACCCATTAGGACAGTGGGAGGGTTAAATTAGTTTACTTAGCTGTTTTAACATGTTGTTAATTGGTTGATGCATACATTTAAATTAACCAAATTGAGTTTGTTCAATTTTTGTACACACAAACAGCAAATACACAGAATTAAGTATTTTCTAACACACAGGCAACGCACAAAAGTATTGCAAAGCAAATGCAAAAGGGCTAGTCAGAGGGCTATGTGACATGAATACGTAGACGCTCCATTGGGTGCTGGAGAGCTTAACCACAGACATATACGTAGACGCCCTGTAGACTGGCACTGCCTGTTGAAGCTGTCGTAGTGTCATCTTGGACGAGTCTCTATTTGCCCCCAGTGCATTTATTTCTACGGAGGAAGGTGCTGCTTACCCAACTAAAGAAACACATTTTATAATGCTTTTTCACAAAATCAGATATATAGTATGGCATAATTAAAACAGAAATCTAATAAATGAAAATAAATTAATTAAAACATAAAATCCTAGCAGGTAGGCTAGAAAAGTCTAAAGTAATCCAATCCAACGTGATCTGTTTTCCATAATGCAAGGTTACGCTCTCCATTGCCCCAAAGGGACGTCTATGTATTCATGTCTATGAGCGTAACATCGTCACCGCCATGTTGGATGGATTCCTCACTCTCCAAACCTGGAGGCAAAGTTGAGTGAGCAACTCTGCCTGGTTTTTGTGCAGCCTAAAGCTGCAACAGGCGCACTATTGAAAACAGATCACGTGGGACTTCTATTGACTTTTCAAACCTACCTGTTGGGATCTTTTTTTTTAATTATTTTATTTTATTTAATAATATTTATATTTTAACTACCATGCTATAGCTGATTGTGTAAATAAGCATAAATAAAATTTGTTATTTTTAGTTGGATAAACTTTCCTGGCGCCATCTGTCCCTCTGACCACCCTCATCAGGCATGGCGGGTTAACTGTCTTGCCCAAGGACACAACAGCAGCATTCTCTGATCAGAGCCAGGATCAAATCTGCAACCTTCTGATTACTGGACAACCTGCTCTCCCTCTTGAGCTGCTGTCCCCATCCAACATGGCAGCCCGTTGCTATGCCAGTTCCAATAGGCAGCGCCAGTCCATGGGGTGTCTATGTACATGGGAGCCATGACAGTTTCCATCTCAAAACCTGTTTCAGTATCAACATAAAGTAATTACCTAGAAATGAATTATGATATAAAACCATAAACATAGCAGGAATGACATTTTCAGCTGAATGTTGTAAAACTGACAGCAGTTAAATGGCTTATTAAAGAAACTGCTATAAGATGTTATAGATTAAAATGATTTAAAGCCTAAAATCAGATCCAGTCTCCAAAACTTAAGGACAGTTCATGCAACGCTGTTTGAAGAACCTTAAAACTGCCACCATGCGTACGTCTAATTACAAGACAAGATATCACCAGTAGAGGTTAAATGTAGCACTCCACATGCATCCAGTGGTCATATCAAGCAGGAATATCTTAGCATTTCTGAAGAAGTTGTGCTGTAATGGAAAACTGATGTTAAATCAGCTTTGGATGTGGGTGTAATTACACAAGACATACATTCAGGTTATCAGTAGGGTTCAAATGGATTCAATTCAAAAAGAGATTGCTGCCCAGTCTGATGTAAACACCATTTATCCAGAGACTGGTCAGGAGGTCATCTGCACTTGAAGTTTATCCCATAAATAATGTTAATGTAAGACTGGAATAATGCCCCCAAGTGTTTGTAGTGGACAAGAATAATCCCTGTGTCCATTGGAGGACACAAATCTATTTACACCACCTCATTATGTGGAGCTGCAATGTCATCAGTTTACTCTCAGAAGCACAAAAAACATCCTAAAACTGAGATTTTAATTAAGGCAGGTTGGTTGGAGGTGTGTGTGTGTGTGTGTGTGTGTGTGTGTGTGTGTGTGTGTGTGTGTGTGTGTGTGTGTGTGTGTGTGTGTGTGTGTGTGTGTGTGTGTGTGTGTGTGTGTGTGTGTGTGTCTACATGGTGGAACAACTGACAGCAGAAGCCACAGCTGACACACAGCAGGGAGGATTACTCGGTCTGCAGCACTCTAACCCATTCACCTCAGTAATGTATTCACACTGAGGACCCTGAAGAATAAATAACGTCTAAAGTAGAAAACAACTGCCTGCAACAGCGTTGAGATCATAAATCAGCCCAACAGAAAGCAAAGCGCAACGTGACCGCACGCAGGTCCTCCAGACAGAAGCTGGGAATGTTTGTGTTGTAAACTGGTTATATTCACGCAGATGAGCATTTTACATCAAATTATGGGATTTTTATTAAGCAAGAATGGTGAAAAAGTCAAAGGATTTGGTTTTCTTGCGTTTTTCTTACCTGTAAAGTCTGTTGAAAATCTGAGTTCGTCAGACTAGATATCCAACTTCTTCAACCTGGTGAAGTGTTGGTGGCGTTTCCTTTTTCAGCGACACAACTTTTAGGTAGCTACGCGTCCCGAGGGTTCCCAGATGCCCTGCGGGATCTTAAAGGCGGCATGTTGACGCTAGGAAGTGCCACGACTGTCCCGGGTGCATGGAGGTCTCTGTACGCTCAGCTGTCATCACGGTAGACATGGGAGAAGCCGTGCTGGGCTGTTCTGCGTCTCTTCGTGCCTTCATAGAACAACGCCTCCCACTTTTCCCACTGGGGGGTGTCCCTGCAGATGCCTGACTTAAATCACATGAAAACTGATTCCAAACGAACCAAATTTATGAAAAAAGGAAAAAGCGCGTGTGTTTGTATTGTTATGTTCCTGAATAAAACAGGAATTATTTTTGTTTCTAAATTAAAGTAAAGGTTTCAGTGGGACTGTCACTGATAACTATTTTGGGGGTCTGTCAAAAATTGTCTTCAGATGTTTTCGTTCTCCTTTCACTCATTTTTTACGACACTTGTACACGACTGACGAAATTGGAAAAGATGACAGATAGCAGATGGACCATATCTGGAGGTCATAGTAAAAAGGTAAGAATCTATTAAATATCTTAAACAAGGCCTGTTAAAGGCAGCTTGTCAAGTTTTAAGCAATTAAATTAAATTATCAGATCAATTATTGTTTTTCAAATTGTTACTTTTGGTGTTTAGATTCACATCAAGAAATTTAATTGAATCGTGTCTGTGTAACTGGATGTTAGTGACAGTGAGGTTAAAAAGCAAAAACCCATTAAGACCTATTTGTGTCTGAACGGTTCATAGGTCAGATTTTTGGAGCTTAACAAACAAAAATGAACATGTCTGAAAACAGACAGAAATTTCATTGAAAAGCCACCAATGTTCAAAGAAAACTTTTAAAGGTTTTCAAAATAAAACCTGCAAATTATTTTCTCAAAAACAATAAACTAGCACATGATTTGTTGAGATTTTTGTACATTTCTTTAGTTACACATAATTGTCAAAGTCTTCGGTATATATGTAGAGAGAGAGAGAGAGAGAGAGAGAGAGAGAGAGAGAGAGAGAGAGAGAGAGAGAGAGAGAGAGAGAGAGAGAGAGAGAGAGAGAGAGAGAGAGAGAGAGAGAGAGAGAGAGAGAGAGAGAGAGAGAGAGAGAGAGAGAGAGAGAGAGAGAGAGAGAGAGAGAGAGAGAGAGAGAGAGAGAGAGAGAGAGAGAGAGAGAGAGAGAGAGAGAGATGAGATGGGATGGGATGGGATGGGATGGGATGGATGGATGGATGGATGGATGGATGGATGGATAGATAGATAGATAGATAGATAGATAGATAGATAGTTTATCATCATTACACTGAAAATGAACTTGTGTTTTAATACCATACTATACTGTTAATAATAAAATTGTATTCCTAATAATTCACAATGAATGTTTACTAATTTCTTACACATATTTTAATTTTAGGTGTTTTAAACTTCTGTTATCAATATTCTTATTTTTCAAGAAGGAAATTACTTAAGGATTGTGGAAACTGTAGCAGAATTAAACCAAAGGGAACCTGAAAATATTCTTTGTTAGCTCATTTTTTTGGGACTGCCCGCTCCAGCCACACCAGACGATGTTCCCAGGAGTTACAAGAAGTAACATCATCTATGTTTGGAACATGTGACGGTAATGTTTTTCTTTTATTTAGTGTCATGGTGAGTAATTAAAGCCTGTAGATTTAGCGGATATTTGAGCGTTTTCTGCTAAAACAAGTTTCAGCAGCACAGACGTAAAAATAGCTGGTTTCCCCTGATACTGTTTTATGGCTTCACCCTTAAGCGCTGTCGTTTAGAATCACAGAGACAGTAAAATCAGCTTTTAGAAGACCTTAATTACAGCTTCTATATGACGAATTATATGTTTAGTAAACCTTTCCTGACTACTGCTTGCTGTGTGCTGTGGTGTGAAAGGCTGAAGGCCTGACTTTGCTGTGTCTGCAGTAATGACAGCTTCCTCATATGTGATTGTGTATATGAGCAGAACAATAGCAGGAAATAAAGGCAGGGGGATGCTTTTGACTTTAAGAACAGACAAGGGGAAGGAAAAAGATACAGCAGAGGTCACACAAACACATGACAACAGGCTTAGATAAAACTCACTCCTCCAGTGAATGTGTCGATGTTTTAAAAGGGACATATGACTTGTTTTAAAAGCCATAATATATCTATAAAACATAGAAAGATCAAACTTTTTATGTCTACGCAAATTATGTTTATGTTTATGGAGGGGGTTTTATTATTAATTGTTTTTTACAAAATCTTTCTCACATAAATTGATGCTGCTTTGATCTTGACATTTTCAGTACCTTCCAGAATGAGTTTTTTCAGGGCTATGTCAGCAGCAGCTTTGTCCTCTAGGTGAGAGGTGGTTCTATTCCAATTTCACAATTTGTGATGTTATAAACTGATGCTTTTTGAAACCACTTCTTTTAGGCACATAATTCCCAAAACCAAACACTGACAGAAAACAGATTTTTCATGTTAGTAGTATTTCTAGATGCAGTAGAGACACATAGTAGCACAAAAGGATTCAAAATGGGAGTTTTTCACTGTATGTCCCCTTTAATAATTCAGTGACTTTTAAGTTGCTTTCCAGTAAACCTCATTTTCACGAGTCACACAACTCTTTCTTTGGGTCAATGAATGTGGGTCAGGAAGGTGTGGGACATGCCAGCCTGTCAGACTACTAGTGGGCTTCATTGACGCCACATTCAGCCAAGTATACACAAGCATGACCTCTCTCTCAATCACACACACACACACACACACACACACACACACACACACACACACACACACACACACACACACACACACACACACACACACACACACACACACACACACGTCTCATACATATTAAAGCTGGGAACAGTCCAGATCTGAGTGGAATGCCGTCTTTGTCTCCTCTAACAGTGACCACTTTCATCCGACAGCATTATGTGGGTCTATTGTTTTCTTTCATAATGCTGCCAGCTGAGCATCACTTTAGTGCTCCTGACACAGAGAATACATCAGCTGTCATACACTAAATGTATTGTTCCTCCTCTGAGAAAAACCAAATGTGATGAAATCTGTCTGAGTGGGCAGAAACGAGGACTTGAAGCATGACGGACGTCACGACTGATTTTTCTGAGTCAGTTTCACAGAAACAGTAGATTTGTCTTACGATGACCTCACTCAGAGTTAGCTTCATTTAATGCAAGCTTTCATATTGCAGTGTCTGTACTATCACAACATTTTTGTGCTTGGCACTCAGATTTTCTTAGATGTTCCAGCATTCTGTACATTTCCTTTTCCTGTTTGTTAAAAAGGAATTATTTATCTTCTTTAGTGGCTGTGAAGGACTGAAAAAACACCCTGGGAAATCATTTGTATGAGTTTCTTAGTTTGAAAGACCCATTCACAGTCAGGGAACATGAGAGCGCCTGTAAATTGTGTGTCGCTGTTAGAGTTTGTCAGACAAAACCACCGGTGATTTGAAGTTTTCTAAATAATAAAGAAGAAAATAAAAGTTTTAAATTGTAATTTTCTGAAAACTTCATTTCCACTAGTTACAAGAACATAAAAAAACTGAACAAGGTGAACAAGAATTTTATATCTTAAAAGGGACATATTGTGTAAAACTCAACTTTTGCTTCCTTTTGTGCTGTCATGTGAGTTTCTACCTCCTCTATAAACACTTCAAAGGGGGAAAAAAACATCCATCTGTTTTGTTTCAGGAATTATGTGCCTTAAGCAAGTCATTTCACAAAATCCCCGCTTGTGATGTCACTAACAGGGAAATTATAGAACCATCTCTTTGTTGCAAGAGAGAGCTGCAGCTGAAGTGTGGCCAGCTCCAGCTTGTTTTGTTAAAGTGAGTACTGAAACGACTCATTCTGGAAGGTACTGAAACTATGAAGAATAAAACTGCTGAAATTGCTTTATGTGACACTTTTGAGTTTCAAGAACATGTTGTGTGGACCACAGAACTATTATAATTTGAGAAAAACGTTATTATATGTCCCCTTTAAACAAATATGGTCAATAAAAACATGCTCTAATGGGTCTATTTGTTTATAAGTTGCACTTTGTAACTTCAATACCTTTTTTAATTTGAAATAAAAAAGCAACATTAAACAAGTTATTCTTCATCTTTTCTGCCTTCTCCTGGAAACAAATACTCAGTCCTGATTTTGTGAAAAAATAGCAACTAAATATAGAAGTAGCACATATGTTATTTTAATTTAAAGGTTTTAAGTCATTTCCATATAAAGAGAATCTTCACAGAAGAAAAGGAGAACACTGCATCCATGTGGATTTGGAAACCATGACAAAATGCATGCCAAAAATATGTACACACACACACACACACACACACACACATATATATATATATATATATATATATATATATATATATATATATATATAATGCAAGGCTACATTTATGCAAATAAACCCTGAGAAAAGGCTGTGCATTTTTTAACCAAATGTGTCTATTTTAGCCTGTGAATCTGCAGAAAGCAAAAGATGATCCCTATAACATCAAACAACTAGATGAAGACATTAAACACCACATTTTGATTGACCAAACACATGATATATTTCATTAGATTTGACAATAATTGTCTTACTGAATAATCGGCTGAATAATCGGGTTGACTTTATTTATTTACTTACCTGAATAAAGAATCATTACATCTCTGCAACAGAACTGGACAGCAATGAAAAGCAGAGATTTTTTTTCCTGTTCAACACTGACATCTACTGAACGTGGCACTAAAATGCCTCTGGATTGTTAAACTTTTCCAAATGAGAGCCTAACTCATCAAGTTAATAGTCCTCGTGGGCCGCACAACTGGGGTTTTTAAAAATATAAATAATAATGATTTTATGGTGAGTTTTTTTCTATGGACACTCCATAAAACATGTCCAAAGTATCACTCTACATGAACAACCAGCTGGAGAGAAAAGATGTACCATTCTATAAATGCAACTAGTGCCTCACAAAATCACAGAGGGCGGCACTTTGGACATGCCTGCCTCAAAGTGAAAATAAATGACATTTTTTATTCACTTGTCTACATTTATGCCCACTGTGCAAGGACCTATTAGGGGGTCATGTTACGACCCCTGGGTTTTACCATGGTTGGTCGTATTATTATTACTGTTTACTCTGCGTTTTGCCCCCTGTTTTGGTAGT